GAAGGAAGGAAAGGAGGGAGGGAGGGAGGAAGGAAGGAAGGAAGGAAGGAAGGAAGGAAGGAAGGAAGGAAGGATGGGAAGGAAGAAGAATGGAAAGAAGATAATTTAATGAGAGTTCTTTCTCCTCCATCTGGAACTGCCAATATTTCATCTAGTCTCTTAAAATTCTTGAACGATAATGGGCCACACATTTAGACCTGCTTAAAGTTAAAATTGACCACATCGGTTCATTCATTTCTTGTCCTTTCTTGTTCTGAGTTATCAAAAAGGATTATGGACTAATAATTGACCTACTCAAACCAACTAAACACTTTTGAAAAGGATATTTTTCTAAATAGTTAAGTATCTTATTTTTATTAGGTGCTTTTCTTTTTTCTTCTCTACTTACTTATCTGACTTTTTTAATGTCAATATTTCGTTTAAGTAATTAAGCTGCATTTAAATCCGAGAGATTTTAGAATGAATTTGTTGGTAGCCCATGGTTGTGCCCTTGTGCAAATTAGATAAAGTTGTCTCCCCAGGAAAGGCAAAGCTGCAGGTTGTATAATTGACAGGCTTATCATGGTCGACAGTCTGTACTCACCCTCCTCGGACAAGCACTTTTGTGGGTAAAACAACCTGTACAATTCTACATGGCAGCTCTGGTAAAGGTTTGTAAATATGAAGATTAAGTGAATGCATTTTTAAATGCTTTAAAAGGCACACAAATATAAGCAAAAATTCATTTTTAATATAAAAAATATAAAATCTGAAGATTGTAGGCATAACAGAGATCAGATGAACCCTTCTGCCTGAAACAATCAAGGGATAGAAGAAAAATATGAAAGAAGAATGGATGACAGGACACTGAGCATCAAGCAACAAAAATCTACAATCCTAAGAGATGGGTAACTAATGAAGTAAAACCTATGATTGCGCTAGCTTACTGTCCCGAGTGAGTTTCCTGGCCGTGGCTCAGGGAATAAGTGAGATGGAACCTAGTGGACCCTCTGAGTTGAGGAAAAAGAGGTGAAAGTCTGGGAAGACTGACATTGCTATAGTTTGCAGTACGAGTATTGAAAAGGAGAGCATTGCAGAGAGAAAACGAAAGAGCTCTGTGGAAGAGTCCTCTTGAGTATTAACTGAGTACTGATCAGCACATACATGTGGGTAAACTATCCACTTCAGGGAAAAGACATTGAAAAAAATTGGAGGATGAGCTCCTGGCATACTCACAGGGCCAGGAAGAGTGCTGTTTCCATGGAAAATCTCCTGGTTGCCAGGACATTGGGTAGCCAATTAGTAGGGAAGAGTGAACATTGTATACAGTTGGACATTGGGTAGAGTGAACCTGCCTTAGTAGAGGATACAATTAGCCCTAAACACTGGTCCTACCTAGCAAATCTGAAAAGTAAAAGCTGAAAGATGAAACAGTTTCCAAATAAATTTATTCCAGAATAAAGTTCAGGAATATTTACAGAAATTTGAACTATCCTCATCCAGAAAGATTTTTTAAAATCACAGTATCTGGCATCCAATTCAAAATGTCTAAGCAGGAAAATATAACCCAATAAAGATATAATTCAATCAAATCTACCCCAGATGTTAGCATTATCAGTTGAAGACATTGACAGTCATTAAAACTGTCAGCTTCAAATTCTATGATGTGCAGGAGGCAGCTGATCGATGTTTCTCTCCCATCGATGTTTCTAGCTATCTATCTCTCTCCCTTCCTCTCTGTACAATATCAATAAAATATATAAAAAAAAGTAATTTTTTAAAATGAAAGCCAAATTAAGATTTTTAAAACATAGAAAAGCTGAAGGTTTATTCCATTACCTTCATATACGCTCAACAAGAAATGTTAAAGTAAATTCTTTAGGTAGAAGGCAATTGTACCTGATGGAAATATGGATCCACACAAGTGAATGATGACACGATATGCTGATTACATGGATAAATATATAATTTTTAAAGTTAATTATTTAAAGAGATTTTTAACTATTTAAATGAAAGTAATAATTGCCTTGAGGGGTTTATAACATCTGTAAAATAAAATGCATGAAAATAGCAGGAAATAAAATATGGAAGAAAAACGAGGTACACTAGTATAAGTATAGCAGTAAACTATCAGTTGATGGTACATTGCTAAGTTAAAGAGATGTACCATAAATGCTAAAGGTAAGAGGATAAAATGGAATTATTAAAAATTGATACAAAGCAAAACTGAAAAAAGAGAAAAGCGTAGAAAGAACAGATAAAACAAAGATAAAACAATTAATATTATGAGAGATTTAAACCTAACTATATATATAACCTTATTAAATGTAAATGTTCCAAGTTAATATTCTGAATTTTAAGAATTATCAAGTTGAATAAGAAAATGAAATGCAACTATATACTGTTAACAAGGAACACAATTCAAATATAAAGACACAAATAGGTTAAAAGTTAAAGAAGAGGAAAAATATAGAGCATACTAATCAGAAGAAAACAAGAGTGACTATATTAATATTTGACAAACTAAATTGCAGATCAAACTTATTACCAAGGATAAAGGATCATTTTATAATGACAAAGGGATCAAATCATAAAAAGGACAGACAATCATATTTATTATGACTGACCTTCAAAATACATGAAGCAAAAACTGATAAAACTTCAAGGCAAAGTGGACACACACACACACACACACACACACACACACACACACACGTTCAGTCAGGGATCTCAGAACTGTGCCACAACACTTGATAGAACAGCAGAGAGAAAATCAGTGAGGGTAGAGATTTGAATTACACTATCATTTGACTTAACCTGATTATTTATAAAACACTCCACTGAACAATGGCAGACAGAGTATTTATCAAATAGACCATATTCAGAGACATAAATCAATCTTCAACATATTTAATATAATTTAAGTAATACAAAGTATGTTTTCTCTAACCACAATGGAATTAAATTATAAATCAAATACAGAGGCACTCTGGAAAATACCCAAATAGTTAGAAACTAACTAACATACTACCCACATAATACATGGGTCAAAGAAGAAATTGTAAAAGAAATTAGTAAGTATTGTGTGCTTAATAGAAATAAAAATGGAATATAAAATGTGTGGGATGCCATTAAAGAGGTAGCGAGAAATTTAAAGCACTAAATGCCTACATTTAAAGCACTAAATAGCTTACATTCTTTAAAAAAAGCTAGACAAAGGAGAGCAAATTACATGCGCATTAAGAAGAAGAAAGGAAATAAAGGTCAGACTGAAAATCAGTGAAAGAAGACAGAAACACAAAGAAAGTCAAAGCAAACAAAAGCTCTGTTTTTAGATCAATACAATTGATTTGACTTATCAGAAAAAATAAAACAAGATTTTATTTTATTTTAACTTCAGTAATGAAGACTGTGAAAGTATTACAATTGCTAAAGGTATTAAAAAGAATAGGAAATATTATGCACAATTTCATGCCAATGAATTTGACAACTTAGATGAAATGGACAAATAGTTTGAAAAACACAAATTACCAAATGTATCCATGAGAAGAGAAATAACATAAATATTTCAATATCTACAAAATAAACTGAATTTGCATTTAATTACCTTATATAAAGAAACCACTGTTTCTTTAACAAAGATACAAAGTCAGTTGAGTGAGAAAGGATAATTTTAAAAAAAATGGATAACAACTGGATGACTATACACAAATAAATGAATAAATAAAAAGTCACTATTAAAATAATGAAAAGATGAGGTCCAGAATAAAGTTAAATAATAAGACAGCCCCAGCCAGTGTGGCTGAGTTGGTTGAGCATTGTCCATGCATGGAAAGGTTGCTGGTTGGATTCCTGGTCAGGGCACAAGCCCAGGTTGCAGGTTCAGTCCCCCAGTCAGGATGCATATGAAGTAATTGATCAATGTTTCTCTCTCACATCCATGTTTCTCTTTCTCTCTCCATCTCCCTTCCTCTTTCTCTAAAAGCAATTTAAAAAAACATAAAAAAGGGAAAAAATAAAGAAACAAGCATCCCAATTTAAAAAGTGGGCAAAAGATTCTAGCAGACATTTCACCAAAGAAGATATATGGCTAGTGAGTAAGCACATGAAAAGATGCTTAGCATCATTAATTGTCAGGCATATGCAAATTAAAAACACAATCATATCCAATTAAAATTCAAAAACAAATGGCCATACCAAGTGTTGGTGAAGATGTGGAAAAAAACGAGAATTCTTATACACCCTACCGGGAATGAGTTTCTATACATACCTAGTGGGCATGATAACTTTGGCAGTTTACTAAAATGTTCAAGATCCACCTATGGTCTGCCAGGTATTTACTCAGGAGAAATGGAAGTGTAAGTCTGTACAAAGACTGGTCATGAACATTCACAGCAGCTTTATTTGTAATCAGCAAGACCTGGAAACAAATCAAATGCCTATTAACAGATGACTCCTGACATACATTACAACATGAGTGAATTTTTTAAAGATTATGCTGAGTCAAAGACACCAGAGAAAAAAATTACATACTGGATGATTCCATTTAGATGAAATACAAATGCCTCTGTAATAACAGGAAGTAGACCAGTGGTTACCTGGGAAGGAGAACTGGGAAAGGAAGAATGAAAGGGTGAGGTGGGGGTAAAGGAGCTTCTCTTGAAGTCCCATTTTGTGATCTCTGTAATCTCTGTAATCTCTTGGCTGCAATCATTGCCTTTCAGAATTTAAAAATCATCTCCTCTTACCAAACAAGAGGGGATCATTGGATAGGTAACCAGTAGTCTCTGGCCACACAGAAATAATTATCCCGATTGAAAACTGAGTTTCAAAGAGATAAATGAACCAAATCAACATCGTCACCCAGCCATTGGCGAGTTTTACCTGAGGAAACTCAGTGAGCACATGGACGACCGCTGTCGGAGCTTGAAGCCTGGCGGGGACTGAGGTTTGAGCCAGCATATGAGTATATCTGTCATTGAGATCGCCAGGGGTATCACAGCGGCGGGCACAAGTAGGCTAAAAATAGTAATGATAAGTAATACAATAATAAATGAATACGTAAATAGTAAGATAAGAATAAACTCTGTTTTGGGTACTAACAATTGTAAACCTACTTGTGCTCACTCTTGTAAAAGTCAACTAGAATTGAAATTTTGAGCAAAGAAGACCCCCAAAGCCAGTGTGTGCAAAGAATGTGGACCTGAAAGGGGCTGCCTGGGAAAGGGATGTGAAGGGAGAACTATAACCTGTTTGGGTATCTTTCCCCAAAATAGCCCATGAGCACACATCTGAGCCGCATGTCATAAAGGGAGTTGGCAAAAGATGAAGGGAATTCTGTAAATGCTCAGCTGGTTGGCCTCCCTCCACATGGAGCAGGAAGTGGGTATCTACTGGTGTTCTGAAACCCAGTTTGCTGGGAGCTCCGTGAGACCTTCAAGGATGTCCAAGGTTTGCAGCTTACAGGGAGATGTGCTCTTGCCAAGGGAGGACATTAGCACTGTCACCACAACCATCAGAAATGTGGGCCCCTTGATAAGATGCTTGAGGCTATAGTGACTCTACCATGTGCTCCAACAAGGCCACCAGGAATGGGCATGTTTATAGGAAACCTTCTATACCTAAAGCCTACCTGTACGTTGAAAAAAATGGTAAAAGGTATTTCTGGGCCCAGGAGAGGAAATACAAAATGAAGCATCATTCTTGTAAAAAAAAAAATGTAAGCCTACCGGCCTGCCGGAGTGAAATGTAAGGCTTCACTGGAAGCTTAGTTCAATGGGCCAGTCAGCCTTATGCTGATCCAGGACATGCCTGCTACCAGGGGTGCTCCACACGTGCTAGGCTGGGAACGCCCAGGCTTACAGTGTGATACCTGCATGTGCTTAAGTCTACTTTTATCTTACACCCTGAGCTCCGTACTCCTAAATAAACTTTTATGGACATGGTATATCTCACCACACTACAACAATTGTTCTGGTATGTGCCATCTTTTAACTAGTAAGTGCTCTAAATAATAAAGTTTTGTTGCTACTCTCTGCACTCCTGTTCTCCTTCACATGTTTTCATCCCATCCACTAGTCCTCTTTGGTGCTAGTGATTAAAAAAGAAAAAAATGCTGCCAATAAATCTGGTAATCTATGAAACATTGGAGACACACTTTTTTAAAATCAGTGGTGAATTAGTAACAATTTGCTAATGAAGATTTTCTTTTAATTATTGGGGAAAAGATACTTCTTAATTAATAGAAAAGAGGATGGGTTTCATCCAGATTACTTACTGTTGGGAACCTGTCTCAGCCCTACTAGGCACAAGCTACTGAAAGTGAACAGATTAGCCACAAAGTTAAGCAGCTTGGGGTTTTGTCCTAATGAGGTGGAACATGGTAATTAAGTCAGGGTTTCTGGGTGATGATCTTCAGGGGCCCAGGAACTCATAATGTTTGATACAGTATTTTTCATATGTTCTTAGCTTCTTCATAGTGTACTTGATGGACACGTATAAGCAATAGTCTCTGGGGTCACCATCATCCCAGACTCCACAACACATACCTGCTTTCACCCCCTGGTGATGTAGTAATCACACATCATGAAGTTCAGAACCCTTCACCAAGGGAGCGAAACTCCGAGACTGCCACACTAACTCTCTCTTTTCATTTCATATTACAGAATGCCCATGTGTTCCCATCACTTCCTCCTTTTCATTAGTCTTCTGCAACTCATGATCCATATTTTCTAGCTGCTCACCCTGGCATCCACTTCCTTCCCTTTCTCACAAGGTCTTCCGCTATGATGTCTGGAATTGTGCAATTTAACAAATATCCAGTAGTCTCTTTATCAGCCATTTTATTTTTTAGTGTTTGCTACACACACACACCACTTTCTGATCCCTGACTGTCCACTGTTGACACAGCTTCTCAAGAAAGGATGGTTTTTAGATTCCGCATGCACCTCCTGGTCTGAAAGTAGATTTGGTATCTGCCCTGCCCTTCTGATATTACCCTTCAGGTCTTGCAAAAATATTATTCTTTGAGATATGATATGTCACAATTAATCCTATCCTGATTATTGTTATTTACAGAATTTTCACATCCCATCTTTTAATTAAAATACTAGAGGCCCGATGCACAAAAATTCATGCAAGAGTAGGCCTTTCTTCCCCCAGCTGCTGGCACCTGGGACCTGGGCTGACTTCCCTCTGGCCCAGGCTTCATCAGGAAGGACGTCCGGAATGACATCTGGAAGACCTCTGGTCTAAATAGCATATTACCCTTTTATTATTACAGATTGCATTACTTCAGTCCTAGATCATGACTTTTGCAGCCTCATCTCTAATAATTTTTCTTTTGCTTCATCATATCTACCCACTTCCATATCCACACCTTGGAATTAATCATCACCTCTATGCTAATTCCATTGTTCTGCTCTCAAAACCCTGATCTGCTTTTATCAACCTCATAAGCATCTCTACTCCCTTGATCCTTCTCTTTGTATACCTACTAAGTCAACAGCCCTAATATTTTCATTTATTTCCTTATCCAGCTTTGATTCCTTGGCCTATCCATACAAAAATGTCAGTGCATCGCCTCATCTGTAGTATAATGAGCTTTTCTGAGTCCTCATCTCACTTGAAATCTCAAAAATATTTTACCTCTGTGAATCCACCCTCTTTGTGGTGACTTTCTTCTCCTCTGGGCACCCAGCCCATTGCACTCCACTAGCTTTCCTCCAACCCTGGCTACTTCTTTGCAGTCTCTTCTCAGCCATTAAATGTTAGAGTTCTTCCACTTACTCTCTCAGTTCCTTTCATTTGTCCTTTCAACTCTCTTCCTTGATGATATTCTTTTAACGTCGATGTGCA